GCCCTCCAGCCAAAATCATTTCCCACCCCCGATTTAGTCCCTAGAGCACTCAAACAGCATCCTGCAGCTGCCCCCAAGTCTGGATCCAGCTCCTTTAGTCGACAGTCCTAGCTGACCAAGCCAGTAAGATCTCTAGATCCACTGTGCACTCCTCTGTATAGGCCTAACCAGAGTCCACGTGCACACTGCTTTCTCTTCCCCATACTCCAGCCTCTATCTTGTGCCTCCTTTTTCTGGCTTCCTTTAACTTCTGACAATACAGTTCCAATGCCAATGTCACTTGCATCAGTGTTCAACAAGAAGGGTAATTGAGGATCAGGATATGTTAAAATAGGGGATGACATTAACTGCCACTTTAGCTTTATAAAAACATCTTGACATTCCCGGGTCCAGATTAACTTTGCCTTATTGGAGAGTTTATATAAGGGGTTTGCAATAGTAGGAAAATCTGCCATAAATCTTCTACATTAGGAAGCTAAACCCAAGAAGCTGCACAGTTCTGTTACATTTCAAGGTACTGGCCAGACCTTAACCACTTCCACCTTTTCTCGATTTGGGCCTACCCCCTGCTGGAAATGGATGGGTGCTCTTCCATTCATTCCATTCTGTTTGATAGGTTTGGCATTGCCAGTATTAATCTGGTGCTTTGTTAAGCCTGTATGCCCTAGGTCATGGTCTCCAAGGTTGAGTGCATATTCCAGCAGGACTTCTTGTACTGCCCTCATTTGCTCAGGCTCCAGGCCACGATGACTTCACTTGAACTCATGTTCCAATTTTCCTGAGTTTCACTGAAGATTATTGGCTGGCTCTTAATGGTTTTGGCTCTTGTCTGACTTCAGTACACTTACAGAAAGCAACCTCTCTGGTTTAGGGTCCTTCTGCGGGACAGTCACACCTGTCTCAAATGTTCTGATATGCAATCTGTGGTTTTGTCCATGTGTTAGCAACATACAAATTAATTTCACCTTGTGGCTCTTACCCATTGCAATTCCCACTAGAAATCCCAATTCTTCAGTGAATTTAGGTTCAGATAAGCCTTCCTCTTCTTCATGGCACTATCTCTTCAGTTTGTTGGGGATCATCAGGGACCGGGTTTTCTGTTTGCCACAAAAGAATGTGGATTTTCTCCTTTAAAGGAGAAAAACATGGGAAACCACAGGTTTCCCCTTGCAGGCTGGCAGAGTTCCAGCCTGCAAGGGCTGGTTAGAGCTAAGGGGAGTGGGACATGGAGGGCACCATATGCAGCTCCCCCAGCTGCCTGCAGGTAAGCCTATGCAGGGGAGAGGGGGCATAGGAGTTGGGGGCAGATTGAGGCCCCCATGGTGATGGAGGGAATGGGGCAGGGTTGGTGGCTGACACTAGGGCTAGGGGCACTGCCCAGACAGGGCAGTGCCTGGGGCCTGGGGCCTGAGGCCTGGGACCAGGATGGGAATGCATAACTGCAGGGCCCATTTGGGTAGCAGGAAGGAGCCATGGGCAGTGAAGGGGTTGGCTTCCCACCACTGTGTGCACTCATGGGGCAGGAGGCATGGGGGATCATGCAGCCCCCCAGGTTTGTGCATGGGGTGGGGGAGGATGTGGGCTTCTTTCTGTGGGCTCAGGGCTCCTCACACTGCTGTCCTTCCCCGACAGGCCTGCACAACCCAGCAGGCAGGTCCCAGCATAGGAGGGCAGAATGGGGTGGGAAGGCTCAGTGCTGCCACTGCTGGGAGACCTATGCCAGCCACGTCACCACGGCAAGGGGTCCCCTGCCTGCCCAGCAGCAGCGGGGGGGGAGGGAGGGAGGGTACAATTCTGTGCCGCCCCCTGCACTGTTGCCAAGTAGGCAGAGAGTGCCTTGCCATGGCAGTATGTCTGGTATGTGGCTCCCGGCAGCAGTAGCAGCACTGAGCCTCTATGCCCTCCCATGCCAGGTCTGAACCACTAAGTCATGGTGGCCCCTGGGTGGAGGGCAGCAAGGCAGGGAGCCCTGAGCCCCACAGTGAGCAGCCCACATTCTGCAGCCCCGCACAGTCTCCATTTGCTCTGGCCATGCAGCCCACGGATGGAGATGGGAGTGGGGGTTGGGGTGGGGGTGAAGGCTGGGCTCATGCTCTGTTGTGCCTGCAGCTGATATCACCTCCTGTGTGCAGCAGCTGGAGCTCAGGTGCTGCTGGGGGAGGCAGAAGGCTGTGGGCCCTGGCCCTGGTCCCATAGCCCTCAAAACTGGGTGCAGGGTGCTGTAGGTTGGGAGTGAGGGGCACCAGCATGGATGTGGGGGCTGCAGATCAGGAGTGAGGGGCACCTGGGGTGGCTGAGGGGCACTGGTAGGGCCAGTGTGCTGTGGGTCAGAAATGAAGGGCACCAGGAGGGATGGGGAGCTGCGGATCAGGAGTGAGGGGCATCCACAGGGATGGGCAGGCTGTGGGTCAGCAGTGAGGGGCATCTGGGGGGGTAGGGGGCTGTGAGTTGTGAGTGAGGGGCACTGGCAGGGCTAGGAGGCTGTGCTTGGGAGTGAGGGGCACCAGCAGGGTTAATGGTATGAGGAGCTGTGGATTGGGAGTGAGGGTCACTGGCAGGGCCAGGGTGCTGCGGGTTGAGAGTGAGGGGCACCAGCACAGCTGGGTGGCAGGGGAGAGGGACTGCAAGTTGGGAGTGAAGGGCACAGGGCTGGGGGGGGCTGTGGTTTAGGAGTGAGGGGCAACAGCATGGGCAGGGACAGGGCACTGGCATATCAGGACTGCTCAGTGCCACAAAGCAACTATGCGGGGACACAATACCTGCAGCTGGACCCGTGTCCTGGTAAGATATAGGGACAGGGAGAGCTCTGATTTTCTATGATTAAAAAAACAAAATCAAATGTGAAAATATATAGATATTTAGAATGTATTTTATTATAATGATTGAGCCACTAGTTAGTTTCCAAATTGCTTTAAAATTGTAAAAATATCAATAAAACATTGTGTTCAACTGATACCTATACAGGCAGTCCTATACAGGCAGACCTATAATGACAGAATTGGTTCCTGAAAACTGCATCTTAAGTTGAAACGTCGTAACTCGGAAAACCTGGCCGAATGGAACCCGCAGAAGCCTGTGGGGGCACTTACTAGAGAGGCAGCTGAGTGTCAGCTGGCAGAGAAGACAGCAGATTGGCCTCTCTGGGAGCACCAGCAGGGAAAGACTTAAGTTGAAACGTCATAACTTGGAACTGATTGTCCCATGGAAGCAGTGTTATAAATGAGGGATTGGTTCCTGAACCAAGACCCAATACCCTATTTTGACCAAAAATAACCCAGAATTTTGTACTCAATCAATTACAGATGAGTGATATAACTACATTAATGTATTTATATTGTAAATAGCAATCATAATGATTTGGAAGGACTTCTTTGAGGTGACTTTGCTGGACTTTCTGAAGGGTTCTTGGTTGGACTTTTTGAAGGGCTCTTGGCTGGAGTCTTGGCTGCAGGTTTTTCTGGAGTCTTGTCTGCTTTCTTAAAGAAAGTGCCCAAGGATATTTGGACAGATGTTTTCCAGGGAGATGGGCGATGCAGCAAACTTGTTCGCTGGCGTGGCGTGGCATGGCATGGCGTAGCATGGCGTGGTATGGCATGGCATCAGCTCAAACTAATGTCTGAAAGTCGAAACATGGTGTCAGTTTATAAATGACATTCATTGTAACTCAAAATGTCTTAAGTCGGGGACTGCCTGTATATATAGTAGGGCTGTCAGTTAATCTGTATTAATGTATGTGATCAGTGCAAATACCAATTACCATGTTAATTTTTTAAATGTGTTAATTGCATGCATGTTTTGGAGCCCACGCTGCCCTGTGGCACCTCTCTGCCACTGTCACCACTGCCTCCGGACCACCCCATGGGGCAGGGCTGGCCATGCTGAGTTCCTGCAGGGCAGCCTAGGTGCAGGCTCTGAGTGGCTGCAGCAGGAAGGGCCTGTGCGGGCCCTCTCCTGATCCCGCCTGGGTCGCCATGTGCGAGTTCTCTCCCGATCCCATCTGGGTCACCATGTGC